GTATAAGTGGCCTTCATGCATCGAAAACCAGAAAGCCATTTGCGTCGCTGTTCACTAGTAAGCAAACCTTTATCACTCTGTCTATCTACAGGAAAACCAGAAAATGAACAGTAAGAAGACGAAGAAGAAGAACATTGAGCGTGGTAAAGAGAGTAGAGGGAATGGCCATGTGTGCTGCCGTGCTCTTTGGGGGAGAAGGATAGTAATTATAGATGTGCCGTCGTGCTTTCTGGTGGAGAAGGAGAGTGAGAGCAAATGCACCGTCGTGCTTTCTGGAGGAGTAGGAGAGTGATTTTTGGGGGAGGAGCAGCAGAAGCTACATCACAGCTTTTTTTCTTTTTATTAATTTAAGGGCATTATAGTCTTTTTATGATTTATGTTTAATTGTAAAATAAAATATAGGTAAGTATTCCTTTTAAATATTACTCCATATCAAACATAATTTTAAAACCTTATTCCCACTTTCAATCTCAATTTCAATCCCAATACCAGCCCCAATCCTAACTCCTCTAAATTGAAGCCTGCGTATCAAACAAGGCCGAAGAGTATATCAAAAAATTCAACAAATCTATTACTTTATCCTTAATAAATATGCATGCTTTAAAATAAATATTTCAACATTTAATAAATACAGAAGGGTAAAAAAGAACTCAAAGATTATAGAGGTGTCTTATAAACAGTGACAAAATAAATATTCTGTTTGCCATATAAACATAATTAGAAGAGTGAGATATAGCTCCCTAAACTTGTCTTACATAATCACATAAACTTAAAAACTTAAACTTGAGATGTTGTATTTAAATGACTACTCCTCCAATTCAATTTACAAGTTGTTTTGTAAAAATAAAGAGTGATTCTAATTATAAGGCATCAAACAAAAAAATAATAATGCTGATGTTTTATCCTTTACTTTGAAAAAAATATTTGCACAAACAATATGCACACTCATAATTTCTTTTTAATTAATAAGAGTGCAATTCAAAAATTGATATGTTTTGTAGTAAATGAAACAATACAATAAACTTTTTAAAGCACGTGATAAATAAAAAAATGTCTCAGACACCTTATAAATATAGGACCATAGAGTGTAATTTTTTTTTTACTAAAACAAATGTTTATTGATTCGGATTTATATGTTTATCACTAATGAATTTGATATTTTATTTTCCTTTTTATGCGATGAAAACGGGGCAAATTAGGATGGTGAACAAGGAAGAGGACAGCTATGATCACGGTGGTCAAAATTTGAGGAACAATAAGTTAGGCGTCTCAGTCTTTGAAATTTCTGACACCATCTCTTCCATACATCCCCCTTCATTATTTTATTTATTATCGTCTCTTTCGAAATTTATCTCTTGTTGACTCACTATCCATTCATTGTTTCTTTCCACAACTTCATCCCCTCCTTTTTCACTCTGAAAAAAAAAAAAATTACAGTGATTAAAAATTATATTAATTATGTATGTATGACCACATATGTCGCACAAAATCCACACCACCATAAGTAACCAAAACGATTTCTTATAATTTTATTAAATATATACCGTATGTGTGTGAGTGGATCCCACGTATTGCATGAAATTTGAGGAAGGCCGTGTTAATTACTCAAAGCTTATGAATAACTTGACTTTCTATACAGTCTATATTTAAGAAAAAATATTAACTTTTTGTATGCAAGGGAAAATTTAATTTTTTATCTTAAACTTTTTTTTTATTATTGATTCAGTTCTTGAATTTTGACATGAAACAATTTAATTTTTATAATTTATTGACTCCATACAATTCATTGTTTTTTGACTTGTACAATTTAATACTTATAATTTTTTAACTTACTAAACTATAAGGATTGAATTGTAAATTAAAATTTAAAGACTAAATCGATGATTGAATAAAGTTGAAGCACCACAAATTATATTATTCCCTGTATTTACTTGCTAATCATTTTACAAAGCAACTATAAGATGCCCTCAAAACCAATACTTTCAAAGTTTAAGCAAAATTACTAATAGGTGGGGTTTAGTGGAAGAAGCTAATGGCAAAATAAGATTTGAATTTTTATTAGAAAAGTCATCTACATTAAAAGCTTATTCTGTCTCAAACAATATTACCTTCAATAAAAATTTTAATTGTAAACCAAATGAATGTTCACTTATAACTTATTTATAAATAAATGTTCTACTTGTTAATTATATGTGGTGACTTGTTAATCACGAAATGTTCTATTATTTATATTGAAATTAGGCTTGCAAAACGCTACAGGAATAAGTAGGTCTTTTCTTTCAAAGTCTTATTTGCAAATATGTCCCAGAGGATGTAGTGATATTTGAAACTTTCATAGTCCTTCTTTGATATTAAAATACTACCTAGATCCTTGGATGACATTTATCCGGAAATTAAGGGACCGAAATGTTATTGATTACTTTATTTTAATCTAAATGTCACTCTTCTAAATTAATTTAATTACTGTAATTAAATGGCTTTTTTTTTTAAAAAAAGTAAAAGATAGGTGCCTCATATATACAGGGTTAGAATTTTTTCTCTTCCCCTAACCCCAAAAAGAAAGGAAAAAAAAAAAAAAAGTGCGTGGCTTTCGGTGCCATCATGGCTACTCTTGAGTTCCGATCCTACGACACAAATATTCGTTGACTCATCATTTCCCCCTCATTTTCTCTTTCAAATTACCACAATCCTCACCTTTCAATTTCAATGTTCTCTCCAACATGAAGGATATATGTACTACAATCCAAAATTCTGAGGCTTCCATCATTTTTTCCCTAAAGTTTTAATCATAAATAATTCAAAAGAATTTACGATAATTGAAAAAGTTCGTTGAAATTAACTTTTGGTCACACAGCCGCAGCCTCCTCCTCCACTCACAAGATAGCGACGGCATGCGGTCCTCTCAATTCATCCAATAAATATAAAATCTCCGCTTAACAATACATAAGAGAATGCAATTATCTATGTAATTTATGTTCCATAATTAGATATAAAACCTAACGTTCTACTTTCTTTTTGAATCCGTTTTCTGTCTTCATTTTGTAAATATAAAAATAAAATAAAATAAAGTGGTACTGTTTTTTTTTTTTTTGGGATTGTGGGGTAGCTAGGTTGTGCATGGTTCTGGCGTCTTCAAAGAAAAAATTATTGCTTCTAAGGACCAAATGTTGTACATACTTTTCCTTAAAGACCTTGAATTTGGTCTCTATTGCAATTAAATCGAGACATAAAATGACTAAAATATCTATACAATTGTTTTCGAATGAACTGTAAAAGATCTTGCTTAATTCACAGGTTGTATTCCATGATTCGTTAGAAGTTTTGGATAAAGTTGAAATATTTGGATCCTGGACAAATTTTACAAGCTGCCTTGAAAATTATTGAAAACCCCTTTCAAGCTAATTTGTGAGACCTCTTGAAGATAAGAAATCTTGTTAATTTATTTATCCATCTATTTTAAATTTTGTGAAGGGCTTCTTTTAAATTTAAAAAAATATAGTTATAAAGTGAGATCTCATGTAAATTATGCAAGACTTTTTGTAAATTATTTTTGAATTTAGGTGCTTTCAAGGTTGTTGGTTCAAATTACAATGTAAGGATTTTGTAAATTGGTGATATAATACATACATACATACATATACATATATATATATATATACATACATACATACATACATACATCATACATACATACATACATACATATATATATATATAAGTGCTCTTTAAATCTTACACACTTTGATCTCAGTAATTTATCGTCCTTTGAGATATAATTCACCTAAATTTTATGTAGGAAAAATGTTTTTTAAAATAATGAATGACAACTTGTGAACTACTCCTTCCTTTCTTATATATAAGAAATTTTTTAAAATTTTTTGTTCCTAAATATAAGAAATTATTGGCATATTTTTAATGAATGGACTATTATATCCTTATTAAATTGGAAAGAGAAAAAATAAGTACTCTTATTAATTTACTTTTAAAAAATAGATTCATTTTTAATTTATAATAATTAGGAGCAAAATTAAAATATTATTGTACTTTTAATTAGATAACTAACTTTTATTAATTTACATGATTTAGTCAAAAATATTTTATAATAAAGATGAAGCCTAAAGGGAGTAGGCTGATTGTTTTTTTAAAATTAGACAACATTTTGATCGTTTTACAATAAAAATTTATTGCCTATAAGAATCTTAATTACTCTTTTAATTCTATTTATATGTTACTTTCAATATATTTTATTAAAATTAAAAAAATTTAAAATTTATTAATTTTATTTTAAAATTTAATAAGTTTTTAATTTTACTCTTATTATATATATATATTAACAATATATTTTTTTTCTTTAATATTTAATGAAAGATAAAAAAATATATATTGAAAGTTTAATGAGTTAATTTATAAATAGGATAAAAAAACATTTGCCTATCGCTGCCTTGTAGACTTTAAACAGGACTGAAGGGATTAGTCCTTATTAATAATTATGCAAATTTGAAGTACTTGATAATAATATGTTTGTAATTTAGTAGTCCTGCTGGGAAATTGTTCCAAAATCAATTGGAATGATATCAGAAGGTCGACCAAAGGAACCCTATGTGGGCCCATACCTACACCGTGGTCCCCATCATCTTTGCCCCCACGTCCTCCTCTCCAAGATGAGTTTCTGCATTTTTGTCCCACGTGTCCGACTATTCTCATCCGGACCCTTCATCACTCGCCATTAACCATCTTTCAATTTCATCCGACGATATTCACCTCACTCAATTCTTCACTGACATGGGAATCCTACTCCCACTCCCACCTCAACTTTCTCTAAATTAACTTCCCCTCATTGACCGTAGACCAAAAGCCACTGCAACAGAATATTATTTATCATAAAAATTAAAATATAAGAAAAAAATATGTGCGAACATCTCTGACGTCAGCTTCCTTTGACTCTCTCTCTCTCTCCCCTCTTTAAACACTCCCTCTCTTGTCCGCTCCACTTCCTACCTCTCTCTCTCTCTCTCTCTCTGTGTTCGCTGCTTTCTCTCGCTTTCTCGGAGGCCAAACGGCGGTCACCATGGTCAGGGACGATCTATACATCACGATACCGACCTTCTTCCGTTGTCCTATTTCCCTCGATATCATGAAATCTCCGGTGAGTCTCTGCACCGGCGTTACCTACGACCGTTCCAGCATTCAACGCTGGCTCGATAACGGCAACAACACCTGCCCTGCCACCATGCAGGTTTTGCAAACCAAAGAGTTTGTTCCTAACCGTACTCTACAGAGGCTTATCCAGATCTGGTCCGACTCGGTTCACAACCGAGTCGAATCGGCCGAGTCTCCGGCCACCAGAACAGTGCCCTCGCCGGATCAGGTAGTCGAAACTGTGAAGTACTTGGACGGCCACGGCGAGAACTGTCTCGATTCCTTAACAAGAATTGTATATTTCGCCGAAGAATCTGAAGAGAATCGAGAGTTCCTTGCGAAGTTAGACGGATTCGTGCCTTTGCTCGTTGATTTACTCGACAATGTCAATGGCGACGTTGAAATGCTCGAGCGAGTCATTAGTGCTTTAGATACAGTTCTAAATAAAATCGAAGATCGCGAGCAGTTGAAGAGATTGATGTTGAAAAACCGCGGTAATTGCCTAGCTTCTCTGCTCCTAGTTCTGCAACAAGGTAGCGCCGTCTCGAAAATCGGATCGGTGAGGATTCTAAAGTTCATCGCTGTGGATGCCGAGTCCAAGGTTACGATCGCCGAAAAGGAAGGTCTAATGTCCGAATTGCTTAAATCAGTCGCTCCAGACAAGGACCCAGCGCTAATTGAAAACAGTTTGTCGTGTTTGGTTGCAATCTCGACGCCTAAGCGGAACAAGTTGAAATCGATCCATCTCGGAGCTATCAAGACACTTTCGCAGTTACTTTCTGGCTCGAATTCGAGCACGTCCGTAACGGAAAAGGCTCTGAAACTGCTCGAAACGATGTCGTCGACTAAAGAAGGTAGGTCGGAGATCTGCGAGGACCCGGCGTGCTTACCGGCCGTATTGCAAAAAGTTCTGAAGGTATCAAGCATCGCGACGGAGCACGCGGTGATGATACTGTGGACTGTGTGTTATCTGTTTCGCGATCAGAAGGCGCAGGAAGTGGTGGCAATGGCCAACGGTTTTACCAAATTTCTGCTTCTGATACAGACCAATTGCTCGCCGGCGGTTCGGCAAATGTCCGCCGATTTGCTCAAGATTTTTCGGGTCAACTCTAAATCATGCCTTTCTTGCTACGATACTAAGACCACCCATATCATGCCCTTCTGATACTCGTTGTTTTTTTATCTTCTCCTTCGCCCGGAGAAGATTCAGACAGATAAAGTTTGTAAATCAAAGAAAATTTTGTTAGTAAATGGATTATAGAAGAGAAAAAAAAAAAATTCATTTCATGCCAGTCATGTTATCCTCTGTTTCAATTTCTGTTTTGCACTGTGAATGAATTCAAGCCACTGTTGATATTTTGGATCACAGTAAAAGATCGTTTCTTTACCATGTACAAACCACTGAAAATCACAAAAATTATTTAAGGGTGAAAGATTCTTGTTGCTTTTCTTCATGAAGTTGCAACTCTCTTCTATACATACATATATGCATACATACATACATACATATATATATATATATATATATATATTCTTCAAATAACAGGACTCTTGGGTTGAGAATTTCATGGGCACAAGATATAAATTGTCAAGTGTTTAGCCTTGCGGATGATTTGCTGTATCATATAGAGTTGTGATTGATGAGGCATCAAGGTGGTTGCTTTTGTGATTGAAGCTATGTCTATCGGTGGAGGTGGAGTGGAGTGAAAATATGAAAACTTGCATATTTTCAGGGTTAAAGATTAATATTAATGCCTGGATTCTCGGAATTATGCAGACATGAGGAAGAGGAGGAGATGAGAAAGAAAGGAAACCACTTACCACTGGGCTTTATTGCAGGAGAAGCAAGAAAGGAAGGAAGGAAGAGTGCCGCAAAATGCTGAAATGGGTATGCTTTGCTGACTGTGTGATAATGTTAGCTTTGTGATTAATGATTAATTAATTAAGGTTTGTTTGTTCGTTTGCAAGAAAAGAGTGAAAAGGATGGGAATCTGAATGGAAAAAGAAATGTGTTAAAAGGATGGAGAGAGAGAGGGGGGGGGGGCGATGAAGGCATTAATTAAAATAAAGGTTTGACCACTCCAATCCCTACGGCACACATGAAAACAGGACAAAACGAAAAGGTTAATTAATTAAGCACCCTTAATAATGCCCACTTCCCATCCTCCTACATCTTCAATATCTTCATAAATAAATCCAAAAAGCGATCCATTATCTCACAAAACAAGCGCATTATTCAACTCACACACCCCATGACCTATAAATCTCACACTACCACTCTCCCAAATATATACATATAGCCTAATCAAAGCTTGTTTGTGGTGTAGTCCTGGATTGTGGTGCGTCATGAGGAATGTGTGGATTGGCCGCAGCTAGCAGCAATATAAATAAAGGGGCAAAAAATAAAACAAAAGGTTGGTTCTCCAAGCACTATCCCTCCTTTTTCACGTTCTTCCTCTTTTTCTATTTATATAAATACTGCAAAATCAAATATTCAGTATAGTGTATTAGAGAGAGAGAGTGTGTGTGCATGTGGGGGTTAGTACGTATTGGATCATGTGTGGTCACTGGTCACTAGCTACAAAAGAGTATATGAAAACCAACTAGGGCGTGGTTTATTATAGTGGAAAGTGCCATTATTCGATGGGGTACCATGTTGGGGTGCATTGACAAGTCACGTGCCACGATCGAATTGGCTGAATCGGCAATACGACAAGTCGTTTTTGTCAGACTTGACCCCTGGATTCAGGGTGGGAGGAGGGGGTGTGGCTTACTTACACACTCATTTCTGAGGCTGGGGATGCAACCCATCTTTTCCTTGTCCTTTTTGATTTTTTTTTAAATTAATTCAGTGATATTTTGTGCTATAACAATAATAAAACGGGAAAAAATTAGAATACGTGTAGCATGTGATAGTTGCTTTATTGATTAGACAAGGGGGGGTGTGATATGGTGGGTTTTGACTTACGACCCGTGAGCATAAGCTGTCCAATAAGACACAGTGAGAGTTGAATAAGGAGCACAGTGGAGGGCTTAGAGAAAAGTGCGCCCAAGGACCAAAAGACTCAAACATTTGAACATAGGTCCCAAATATTGAAATAAATTCTACTTGGGATCTCCCCATCATGCAGAGACAGTATGTTTTTTAATAGAAATATCAAAATACTCCTTCCTTTTATGCCATCGTCTTCAAATTATTAAAGATTTGTAGATAACTTTCACCTGTGTGTGAGAGAGAGAGAGAGAGAGAGAGAGATTTTATTTATTTATTTATTTATTTTTTGCTGAAAACACATTTTGCCTACATGACCTCTGCAGACAATTTGCCTGTGGCTTATTCGGAGATCAATTGTTGAGCAGTGTGTGATGATGAGTGGGCCCAGAAGGAGCCCACTGAAATGAAAGAGAGAGGTAAAAAAGTACCTACAAACAATGAATTATTAAAAAGAATCTGAGAGTGCATGGGCAGGGCTAGGTTGGATTTTGGAGGACAATAATGTAATGGGAAAGTGGGGAAGGTCTCGGGCATTTTGTTTGGAAATGACCCCCTGTCTTTATTTTTTTTTAAAAAAAATTAAAATACTTATAAAAATATGCATAATCTTTTTATTATAATAAGTTTTATATTTGATATGAGATATGGATGATATAATTTTCAATTTATAAACTTTTCTAACTATCAATTTATCAAATTAAAAATTATAAAAATTGAGTTTATTCAAATCAATAAAATATAAATATTGAATTATTTTGATTAAAAGTTCAAAGTTTAAGGTGATAATTAAAAATAAAAATAAAAAGCTAAAGGTTATATTTTTGGTAGGAGATATCTATTTCTTAACAAGATACAAGTCAGGTCTCTTGTTGGATGGATCAATTTTTATTAGCTTTTTTTAATTAATTAACAATATAAGAAAGCTAATGGCTCTCCCTTTATTTTTTTTAAATTATCTAATTTTTCTTTACATGGATAAAACTTGAGGCTTAAGTTAGATCATGATCTCATCTCACTTTTAATGCATACATTTCATGGGGCTAATTTTCTTCAAGTAAAGGCTCCTAATGTAGTAAAATAATGGCTCAGACGCGGCCTTATTTGATTCCATCAATATGTAATCTCTACCTCTGATTAATTAATTCTTAATTATTCCTCTGATGAGGGTTTGGATATGATTAATTAAGCAAAATTCTCCCCACAAAATTCATTGATTAGACAATAACCAAGTCCCTTCCTTCCCTATACTACCTCAAATCTCACCCTTAATAAAATTATTATTTATTTTTAAACTAATATCATCTTTTTATATTTATCTATATTTAATGAAAAATTTTACTTTAAAATAAATGTAAAATAATTTATTCATTGAGAGCATTTTTTTTTAAATAGGCCATAACTATGCTTTGAAATACTAAAAATGCCTTGAATTTAAAAAAAATCTAACCCTATAAAAAATAACTTATATTTTTTAATGGAGGGGGTATTTGGTTATATTATATATATTATTAATAAATACCATAGTCTATATATATATATATATATAGCACTACATGCACGTATTATTATTTTCGTGATCATTATAATTAATTATGATCGTATCACTTCGGATCTAAGGTTTCGTGCTTGATTACCTACTAAATACATACCATCAAAACGTTATTTTTGCTTTTCCTCCTTGTTACTCAAAATCAAATGAAACATTATGCGCAATCATCTATACTTAAATATACTTTTTTTGATCCTATTTATAAAGTAGAGAGAGAGAGAAATTTTTTTAATCTTATTTATAAATCACGTTATTAAATTTTCATTATAAAAATTCTCTTACCCTTCATTAAATGTTGGAGAGAGAAAATAAATTATTGAAGTTTATCTATTTAATAGGGATAAAGTTAAAAACTTATTAAATTTTAAGATAAAGTTAATGAATCTTAAAGTTCTACTTTCGGTCAAATAAATAAAATTAAAAAAGTAATTATTTTTAAGTATATAAATGCATATATAATATATATTGCAAAGTGCGTAATCATCAGTTGATTGATTACACCACCACTAGCACTAATGCTGTACCTTCCCACTCAATTAACTGATTTGCCTTCAGAATTATCCAACCTTTCCTTTTCATTTTGATGTATTAGATTACATTAACATCATGGCTGTCAATCATTATACTGTATATCATGTGTTAAGATAATTATTTTATGTTGCGTTTCAGATGCACAAGGATTCAAATTTAAATTTAAACCAAATCTTTTATTTAGATATATAAAAGTTTATGAATTTAAATTTTTTATATGTTATTATAATTTTTGTTCGTACTTCAAATTCTCTCAACACCTTGATTGTTTGAAATTGCAGATACTCTTATTCTTTTTTTTTATTCATATTTTCACTATCATTGCTTTTGCTATTCTTTCCTCTCAAGTCATTGTCCTCGTCTCTCACCACATAGTAATTAAAAAATAGAGCCAAGGTCATATCTTTTAATTTTTTAGTTCAGCTTTGAATTTTAATGCATTTCTCTCTCACCTTCAAAACATTTTACATTATCCAGACAAAAGAATTTTAAATACATAAATATTAAAACATGAAATATAAAATTTAAATTCATCAATTCAGATGCTACCTTATTTAGTTATTTATTTTGTACCTTATTTGGGCTGCAATGCTTTATACAAGGAACAAGCCCAACATGTACACAGCAAAGTCATGTTTACACGGGCTTGGGCTGCTCTTCTCGTGCTTGTTGTTAAGATTGTAGGAAATCATATTATGGGCTTGGGCCTCAGTGGTTAGCCTGTTGTTTTTCTTTGGCAAGTGACGACCTACCTGCGAGGTCCATTGCTAAAGAAGTTTTTCAAGGCTTTTTTTTTCTTAAAAAGTATTTTTGAAGGGAAAATTAAAAATTGTTCTTGTTTCCACCAAATCTTTCCTTTCATTTTCTTGTTGTTAACCCTCTATGAATAATAAAACTTGTCATAAATTTTATCAATTTATAAATACAAAATATAAAGCAAGGTAAGAAAAATACAACTCATTATTTGGATTCCGTATAATGCATAATGTATCTCATATGATAAAAACCAGGTAATAAGCTGCATCAAAAGTCATGAATAATAAGACTAATTTATGAACTTCATGTAGTAATGCGTAAAAAACGAGTCAAATTTGTTCACTTGGTTAGATTAAATATTTTTAGGTTATAGTAAATTACAAATTTTTTTAAACAAAATTCCCATCTTGTTTACTTCACGTCAATAGCTAAGTATTCATCCAATATGTAATTCTTGTCCATAAATTTCAAAATTATTTTTCCACGTATTAAGAATAAACTTACAAGACCATGTTGAGTCTCAAAATCAAATTTTTTTTTTCTAGTTTCAACGTGTTAGAGACTTATGCTAGGCTTGGCTCAAAGAGGAAAATAAAATGGAGAGAAAATGAGAAGAGAAAAAATAAAGAGGAAAGAAAAGTGGAGAAATACAATTTTCTCTTATTGTGCTTGGCTGAATGAGAAAAAATAAGGATGAAAGAAAAGTTGCTAATTTTATATGGACAATAATAATTTATTATTTATAAAAATATTACATAATAAAATTTAATATTTTAATATATTATATATATAAAATAATTTTTATTGCATATTATTGACTAAACAAAACATAATTAAAAATTATTTTATCTAATATAAGATTTTATTTATTAAATTATTGAATATTTAATAATTTTTAAAATTTGAAACTACAACCAAATGCAAATATAAGATACTTAACTAAAAATTAATTTAAAAATTTAGAATTAATATTTTTTTAATTAATCTAAAAATTAAATATACTGCTTGTTTAACAAAAACTCATGATCAAAATGTTACTACATTAAAAATATCATGATAAAAATATAGAAAAGCCAAAGGTGACAACTAAAAAATTAATGAGTAAATTTGAAAATAAAATTTTTTTTTTAAAATCTCTTTAAAGTTAAAAAAAGTTAAAGAAAAATATGTAAATCTTATGGATTATTTTCCTTTCACTTCACATGTTGCTTTTCTTTCACTTTTCTCTTCCATCATTTTTTTTTCTCTGTAGCTGAGAAAAAAAAAAGTTATTTTCTCTCACTTTTTTAGCCTCTCACTTTTCTCCCCTGCCAACCACAGAGAAAATGAATTGGGATTAGGAGTAGAAAAGAAAAAGAATGAGCCTTTAATGGATATTGTCGACGTCAGTTGTCTGATCAGGACAAGTTATTTGGCCCATGATCTCAACATCCCATAAATTTAGGGGCTGCTTTATTATTTTAGCTAGTCACTATTCCTACTTTCTTATTTTAACTTTTTAGGTTACATGGATGTGCCCATAAAGTTAGCCATCTTGACTTTGGTCTTCCACTTACCACTATTTTTGTAATTAATTTTAACTAATTATATTTCTCAAATATGGTGCAAATAGGAATATTATTAGTAAGTTTCTTTCTTCTTCTTCTTTTTTTTTCATTTTGATATGTTTATTTGACTATTAAGTTAGACTTAAATATTGTCAAATTCAATTCAATGTAATACCTTTTAAAAGAATTGCCTGCATTCACATGAATTCAAACTTTGAGACTTTATCTTAAATGGCTATACAACATCTTGCCCCCTCCCCCTTTTTTCTCTTTTGCCATTAGCATTTGGTATTTTAATGGGGCATGGACTAATCTGGATTGAGCGGGTGGGGGAAGAGCATCTTCCCTTATTGATAGAATGGAAAACGTACCAAACTCTCAATGTGAAAGAGAGTTCTTTGGCACCAAAGATGACACAAATAGTTAAGAGGTGGAGAGGAAAGAGCAAATGTAAGCGAAGGAGTGCAATTTTGGGGATGGGGCAGTGATGAAGACTCATGATCTTGAAGTGAAGAGACAGAAGGCAAGCAAGAGTGTCGCCCTCCCTCTCAGCAAAAGGCATATTGTGGGCCACATGTATCATCACCACAACCAATAATATTCACACACAATAATAATAATAATAATAATAATAATATAAACGAAGCAAGCAAAGTAATGTTTGATCACTCACATATATATTGACCCACTCATCATTCGCATCATCTTCATCTTGTGGCAAATATATTCCCTCCCCTTCCTTGATCATTAGTGTGCCACGCTCCTTTTTTCATGCCCAAATGTTTCCTCTCTATGCTCTTTTCCTTTTACCTAATCAAACTTATTCAACTCATATATGCTCTCAACCTACCACTACATATCCTTTACTCACTTCACTAGCTAGACTTGCATGTTTACATTATCCACATTTATAGCCAGCATATTAAATATTATATATAGTCTAATCCCACATAACAACTTGATTTATCTATGCCTGTATTAATAAGACTGAGTTCAGACATCACAATAATGTGATGACATTATTGATAGACAATATTTATAAGTATTTTTGTAACTACTTTGACCTAGTTAATATGAGCCCTTCATATCCAAAACTTGCTTAAATATTTTTAGACAGTCCTAAACTTTGTTAGCAAAGAAATATTTTCACATCCATTTGTATTGAATTATTTGTTGAAAACTAAGATAAATTATCACTAGTTGTTGGCGGATGTATATGGCAGACTTGCATGCAATATGTAATGGGATCTAATTCCAGCTCTAAAGTTAATTAGAAGCTAGTTTGTGAAACATCTTTGAAATAATCAATAAATAATTAACTAAAGAGATAGTGCACGCAAAGAGATAGAGGAATAGAACACCATACATAGTCATGCATTTTTTTAGACAACAAAATAAGTTACTATAATCTTTGGGAGGATCCTTAACAATAATATCCTTAATTTGGATTTAAATTTAAAATCTTACATTTAAAATTTATGTATTTAAAATCATTTGGTTGAATCGTTTAAAAAAAAATCAAATGAAGAAAAAAGATGAGTTGAGATTCAAAACCAAAACAAAAAAAATTAAAAGCAATGAGTTTATTTATATTTTTTTAATCGACGAGAGATAAAAAAAAATACAAGAGTTATAGAGACATTAATAATAAAAACATAAAGAGAACAAAGTGTTTTAAGTAATTGAAATTTCAAATGATTAAGATACAAGAGGAATGTGAAATTCTGAAAGGAATGTAATCAGAGATGGATTTGAATTCCATAAAATTTTATTTATACAAATGAGAAATTTGTTCTAAATCTAAACTCAAATCCCCATTAATTTAAACACACCACTAAAGATTTATATACCATGCACGACGTTTAAAATGGGGTGGCTGTTTCCAAGGATAGCTTTTTTTTCTGAAAAAAAAAAAGCCGTGCAAAGCTTAATTTTCCTAAAATCATGAAGCCAACAAAACTATAATTAAGCCCTCATGCAAAGCCATAAGTTTTGCCTTCATGATTGGGCATGCAAGTTTTTTTGGTTGTTGGGCAAAACGACACAGCTAGTCACATTGCTTGGTATCCCAATTTCTCGTGACATGTTAAATTCACACATTGTATTAATTAAGCTATTACCGTACAATATCCATAAAAAATTAAAGGGGATGTGTATCAGACAAATGACATCTCTCAAATGTAGATTACAACTGTATCTTCCACTACTTCTGTGCTATTGCTCTCAAATGTAGAAAATAAGAAAACCCTTTGGTCACATTCCAACAATAATACTAAAGCCGCACACACACACGCGATACAAAGCAATGTGTTTGAACTTTGAACCATTCACTTCCATCCTAAATTATTTTATGTTCCCTTAGGTACTTATGTGTCTCGCTCGCAGTCCGTAAACTCATACTTTTGTTCCTTTTTCTTGTGCAAAATATAGAACAAACACCTGACGCATGACCATACCAAATCACACGCTGACACGTGCATATATATCTATGATTGAACAGGACTCAAGCAACAACACCAAC